GTAGGTATGTTGGCTCCTCACTGCCATATCACATCACCCTGTAAACATGTAGTTATCACATACAAGAAGTCTCCTTGGAGATCTTCCTAATCTAAATGCTGGACTCAGAACCCTAACCAAGAAAAGAGAGAAGACAGAACAGGTCAACCAACCATCTCAACTATAATGGACTATGTCAATCAGTGGACTCTTCAAAGACCTCATAGTGCTTGGAATGGCAAGATTGGCAGCGGTTCATAACTTGAACTATCAAAACCACTTGAGCAAGAACCTCAGAGCATACCCTACATCCGGGACCTGGGGAGGGTGGGAAGTTGGGTAGGCCTTCTCCCTTAATACCCCCAAGGAAAAAATATGGAAAAAATATTAGTCTTATTCACTTTCCTGTAGCCCTTGAACCTTTTTACCCTAATTAACTACGTAAAGATTGTCAAAATAAATTAAAAAAAAAAACATATTAGTTATCACCTGTGTCCTTCATACCTGTATTCCTAGTGATTAGAAAAGCATCTGGTAAATACTAAATGAATGAATGAATGAATGAATGGAAAGAAGAGTTTCAGAAGAAACATCATGACATTATGGTTAAGAGTATGAACAAGGCATAATAGATATTACCATATCCAGGTGTGAAGATACAATGCAATATGCATCCCTACTTCTAAATCAAAGATGGACTCCCAATGAAACTGTTGGAAGTATCTAGACAACAAAGTGTTGGATTGTCTGACAACGTCTGTACCAGCAATGTTGAGACACACTTAAATAGCAGACTGATGCAATTATTACTCCTTATGAAGAACTAAACTGTTATAATAATATGGGGAAAATCAGTCAGGGGTGGGAATGGGGGGGCAGAAATCCCAGACCCTATGGAATTGTACCATAAAATTCATCATCATAATAATAAAAAGAGTATGAACAAAACAAAGCATCAGCTTGCATAATGGTGCTGGTTTGGGGAGAGACCACTTGTGGAGGAGGAGGAAGCACGTTCGGGCAGCACAAATGCTGCTGATGGGTGAGAATCCTGGTGCACGGGCAAATGCATTTGCATGGCTGATTTGCAGTTTCTGTTTTTGAAATGCAGGGCTCTAACCTTGGCATCTTTAATTGAAATCAAAAAGAAAATGTCCTTCTCACCTCCAGTAAATACATCAGAATTAAGTGCCTTGAGTCAGGCCTCATAAGCCATCACTGCTCTCCTCTGTATGCCGTGATGCACAACGACAGGGAAGGAAAAAATGTGTTTGTAATTATAATAAAGATGAAAACCATGGAAATCATCAGGAGCATTGAATTCAAACCGCCAATGAATGTAAATCATGCTATTTGCATAGAAATATGGCATCGTTACAGATATTGGTCAGAATTCAGAAGTAGTTGAATAATGAATAAAATGCCACTTTAAATGTGACATAATAAAAATGTAATTGCTCTTACCTTTTGGGAAAAGATGAAAATCTCTAGAGGTACTCATTAAAGGGGAGCCAAAAAGAGCTAAAGGGAACGGAGAGTGCGTGATGGACTGTGTGTATGTGTGTGTAAGAAGGGACTACCGAATCAGCAGTGCCCTCTGTAATCTTACCAGCATGAGATTGATGATAAACCCCAAGCACTGTGTGTGAGCATATATGTGTGTTTTAATAACATAAAGAACAGACAGACACCATTTCAGGTGGGAGTCATGCAGTCCTCACTAATGGGAAGTCATTATGCCATAGCTATTGTGACATAATTCAAATAAATTTTAAGGTGACATTGTCATGCAAAAAACAAAAACTCACTAGTACAAGACTTTCAAACTACTACTTGTGCCCTAAGCTTATTTCCCTCTAAGACTTAGACAGTAAGAATGTTAGAAATACTTGAGTTCTTGCCTAATTACATAAAGGCTCATTTGGAGTCTCATTTATTTGGAGAGTCTCTGGCATAGCAAATCCATTTAGTATAACACACCAGAGTAGGTAATTAAAAATTAAAGTTGAAATCAAGATGAAGAAGACAAGATCGAAGCTGGTTTAGACTGTTCTGATTAGTCAAGGAGGGGCAGTGACAGGCAGGAAGGATTTCACACATTTCCAAAGAGGCAAAGAAAGGGGCCCAAAGAGGGACCCCGCTTCTGGAAGACTCAGTGCTTTTTTTTTTCAGTCATTCCACTACATACCCAATTGCAAACCTGACCACATGCAACTAGAGGTCCCTTGTCAGTATGGCTGAGGGTTAAGATTGCTAGTCAGACGGTACCCTCCCGGATGCTGGGGGTGGGGAAGAGTACACCAGATTTGCTGTGGAAAGAGGGAAGGGTACAGCCTCCAGAGGAATAGGGCTGGGAGAGGTGGATGGGGCTTAGTGCAGCAGGTTCTTTTGTGTAGAAAGTCATTGGAGTTTCTTGGACTATAACACACTCACACGTGCATGTGTGCACACACGCATACAAAGTGATGTTTTATCAAATGTGTGACAGTGTGCAAACGGCTTTTATGCACATAATCTTGCTGCATCCTCACAGCAGCCCATAAAACAGCAAGTATTTTGTTTCTTGTATTTTGTAAGTGAAGAAATTGAGATTCTGGAAAGTTGGGGAATACACCTAAGTTACTAGGACTAGAGGTCAAAACTAAGGAAAGACTCCAGATCCCCAAATGCACTGTCTCTAAGTTACTCTTTTTACGTTTGTTACTCTGAGCTTCCTCTTCTTGTTTCCCTTACCTACCGCCCTCTCCACGTCTCCCATTTTCCTGCTTCCCCTTTCCATTTCCTTGCATAGTTCCTCTTATTCCTGACAATGTTCAGACTCGGCAAGCCAAGGGAGCACAGTTCAGCCATCAGCCATTTTCACGTGGGTGAGTGTTTCACAGCCCTCTGGAAGGCAAAACCCTCTTCATTTCTTGGATTCTGTTCTTGCTGCAGCAAAGGCATAGACACAGAGGAAGAATCATCTAAGAGACAAATCTCAACACCTGCTGGGTAGAGTGAAATTCCGTTCATGCCAAAAGATGTGAATCTCATGGGTCTCTATGTTCCTGTGGAGGAATTGAACTATGAAAGGTTCCAAAACATGGTGGCCTTATATACCTATTGATGTGTGTGAAAGAACACATGCCATCACCCTAGAAAAGCACTCAGGTTGTGAATTGGAGGGCCACTTATATCACCTTTATAAATCTGGATCATTCCTCTCTGAGACTACAGAATTATACAAAACGACTCTGAGTTATAAATCAAATGCACAGGTGTCTGTTCCTCTCCCAAGAACCTAGTAAGTTATAGACTTCTCAAGGAAGAGATCACCATTTTCAGCAGGTTTTCTCCAAGTGTAGTTTCTTACCAGAATTATTGGCATCCCCCAAGAACCAGCTTACAAGCCATACTCTTCATTGTAAATCCAGCAGATTTAGAAAGATGCCCCAGATTTCTTCTGTAGCCTTTCTGATGTCAGCTGAAGTTTGAGGCCCACTTTGCTCAGTATATTCTATGAGACGGGTCCAGAATCAGGTGCCAAAATGGACTTAATTAGGCCCATTGCCTGCATATGAGCCCAGGAAGGTTGCATCACTTCCCCAACTCCTAACCCTCATGCATCAATAAAGACATTTCATGGAGTGATTTCCAGACACTCTTTTCTCGTGCACATATTGGGAGCTTTCATGAAGTAGGATCTGAAGCATTAGCAAAATGCACCTGCAATCCAATATCACCAGAATGATCTGCTCTTACTCCACTACAAACTCTTGCTTTCTTAAAGTTTGAAGTTTACTCTCCAAGGAGCTCTTACTAAATTATACTTCGGTAGTTCCCTCAACTCTGCCTGTGTCATATTTCACAGATCAGCTACACTGAGACATAAAATAGATTGTTCTGAAGACTCCAGGATCAAGAAACGAGGGCCACAGTTGACCTCAATGGAGCAAATCAACATGAAAGAATACCTCATCCAGTTCCTCAATTTTGTTGATTTCAGATTGAAACACATCATGTGTATGTGTGTAAATGTGTGTATATGTATAATTAGAAGGGTTTTTTCTAATCTCCCTCATTATGAATAAAATAGAATATTTATCTGAAGAGATTATCACATGTAAAAGAAGCCAAACTTCCAAGATGTGCTGATTTTTCAAAAATCCTGTTGAACTCGGTTTTTGTAAAATGACTGAGACACCACGTGGACGATGGGCGTTCCATGTCCCAAGGTTCAGGTACCAGCTATTTCCAGTTTCAGATTTGTGTTCATGTACACCTGAGGAGACAGCAGTTGATAACTCAAGTATTCAGGTCCCTGTCATTCACCTGGGGGACTCAGCCTAAGTTCCTGAATCCTTCCTTCGGTTACACAATTTCAGGGATCTGAGGAATGAACCAGTGGAGAGAATCTCTCTCACGCTCTTGCCCTCACTCTCATTCTTGCTCTCTCTCTCATCCTTTCAATAAATAAAATGAACAAAAATAAAAGTTGTCATTCACTGACAGGAACACCAGAGAGAATCCATAACCTAAGGGATAAGGTGAATGCATTGCTCCCCTAGCACAGCTGTAGAATGCAACATACCATATCAATAGCTGTCACTCTATCAAATCAGAAGACACCATCCCCCGCAGAAGGATCCTAATCTCTCCACCTCACCCTTCCCCCGAACACATAGTGCCCTTCCAATTGAGGGGGGTGAGGAAGACAGACCTGGATAATTCAAGATTCACAGAGGAAGGGTGAGCATGAATTTTGTAACCTGGAGAACAATTTTATACTGCTTACTATTTTGAGCCAGAATTTAGTTGTTCTCTAATAGTCATAAGTCTTACAATTTTTTAATGCTCTTTCAAATAAAGCTTCTTAATCAAATTCCATCAAACTATGATATTGAATTCTTGATAGATGCAAAACTGTATAGAAAGTTAAGACGGAGCCTCTACCAACCACCTGCTTTATGCACCTTTATTCCAGGCATTCCACAATTCAATGGGAGAAAAGGCCATAGCTACAAAGTAAGATACACACTTACTGTTGTCCGCAGCAACACAACATCTGCTTCTTGCAAGGAACATGGGACACAATTGGACCATACATGCCAAGCCGGTCTCCAGTAAAACACCAAGGGGAGAATTCCAAATGACAAGATGGATCCAACCAAACAGAGGGCTTGTCGGCATCCATGAGTCCGGTAGCCAAATACTTCCTGGGACATAATCAAAAGGACACAATACTGGTTAAGCATTACGAACAATACATGAGCAGAGTTTAATCTTAGTGATGAAACTGGGTCCAGAGGATGAAGGAGTTGATGAGGGTAAAAAGAGAACTGAATAAGTGATGCACAGAATGGAGAAGATTCTTGAACAATAACTGTAAGGCATGATCCAAGAATGCCAGGTAGTTGCAGTCTAACTGGGAAAAACCATTTGTGTTGTTTGAGTACCCAGGGTAAATTACTACATTACAACTTCAGATACCTCTGACCAGATACCTCTGGTCTTCTAATCATTCCTAGTCCTGCTTTATTGCTGAAATGAGATCATATTAACTTCATTCCTGAAATGATGGTACTGAGCTCAGAAAGGTTAAACAGAATGAACGACTTGTCCAAGGTCACACTGCAAGAAATTCTGCTAAGATCCAAACCCAGGTCATTCAGCCACTAAGCTTAAAAGTTTGATTCAGAGCTATCACAGTCCTGGTCACAAGCCAGGTGACAGAAGGCTAGTTGATGACAATAGCCACATGATCCCTTTTGTTGGAAGCAACAGTATCTTGAGCAGGAGGGACCGGCACCAGGCCTAGTCTTTGGAATCAGGATTTCGTGAAATGTCTTTGGATCACAAAGATATTAACAGCCAACTTGTCTATAGGAGTTTGGTGTGGAACTATTGGTTTGCATGCTCCTTTCCTGTTCAGATGCAAAAAGAATTTTACATCAAAAGGGAAGCCCATGGAGATTGGTCTACCAGAAATCATGCTATTAAGTACCTGCTTTATTCTATGGCAGGGTGTGGGAGGACTGTTATTAGAATCTGGAAGATACTATGAATGTAAATAAGTGCCTTACTTCAAATGAATGAATAATCAAAACAAGTTTTCTTAAAAAAAAAAAAAATGGGCCTGGGACAGAGTGGAAACCATCTTCACAAAGTTTATAGCTTCAATTCCACAACTGTATCCTGCAATGTCACAGCCATGTTACACTGAATAGAAAGGATGAAATAGAAGTGGCGGAGTGACTGACTAAAAGTAGAGTCTCTAACCAGGACATTTTGAGTTTGAAGATCAGCCCAGCCACTCCCGCGTTGTACAAGCGTCACTCAGTTATTTAATATCTTCATTATTCAGTTCGTAATTTATAGAATTGAGTAATGATGATACTCACTTTACAGAGTTGCTCTAAGATCTCAATGAGTCAATCAGTCTAGGTGCTAGATCAGCACTTTGCTATTGCTGCCATGGCTTGAACCCATTTGCCCAACACAAACCTGAAATTCTGTCCCTTGGCTTATCAGCAGTTGGATTCAGGAATTCTCAGTGTGAATGTTCTTCCCTTGTTAGAATGGCCTCTTGGGTAACAAGGGAGCTGAGAACAAAACTTTAAATCACCAACTTCTCTCTCTCATCTGATTAAGACTACATTATCAGTAGGGGTTCTGTGCTCTCAGCTGAAAGCTGATTTCATGTGTAATTATTAGGTTCCTTCCTATCATTAGCAAAACATAAAAATACTATATGGCTTCCTCCAGGATTGCTCAAGGTTAGCAGAACTCTGATAACGTATTCCAATTAACCCAGAAATGCACTCTTTTCAGAGAGGCAAAGTACATCTCTCTGTTTTGGTTAGCAAGAATGAACAAGAGCACGGTTGTAGTGGAGAAGGACTCTGGTTAAGTTTTTCCATGTGTTTTTCTGTTAAAGTTCCATAATAAACAGATACTATTGTTCCTTGATCCTCCAGGAAAACAAAAAAGCAACATGCTTAGAGTATCTCAGAAAGCTCTTGCATAACCCATACTCTTGGTCTGCTCACTTCGATGGTGACAGCACCACTTCCACGTCTTCATATCCACTGCATTGACTGTGATTTGTCTCCAGGACCATAACCGTTCTGAAAAATGCATGCCTCTTCCCCTGTTCCAGTTCTTCCATGAAAAGTTTCAAAATCTCAATCCCATTTGTTCAAAATTTCCATCGTTAGCTCTGCTTTTATCAGCAGCACAGCTAATCATGATGGTTTTGTAGCCACTGGGCAAAAAAGTTTTCAATCATAATTGTACAAGCTGAACCAGTGAATATATTTGTGGTCCTGGTGATCATTTAATGATCAGTCCTCTTCAGTTAGAATAAAATGATGCAGAAGATCTGCTCCTGTGAATTCCATCATTAACATCATCTCTCTACCCAAGTGCAAAAGGCAGCCATTGCAGAGTCAGGGCAAGGGGAGATGTTTGGGAGGACACAGAGGCCATAATCTGTTCACAAACTTCAGTGACTTCATGATTCTCTCACCTATACTTGAACACATTTTTTTCTATTTCTTCTTGGGTCAATGTTAACAGAGTCACTGTTGCTCTTATACAGGCTTTTCAAACTCGTCTTCTTACCTTTCTTACTGTTTCAAATGAGATCTAGTGCAGATGTGTTGTAGTAAGCTACTGAAAATTTATCAGAATGAAAAGAAATTGAAATTGATGCATGTTTTTTCATAACATGAATTTTTTTTCCTGAAATTTTTGAAGATCTCATTGTATTCTCTCATAGGAGAAAAACATTAAAGAATTTTTCCAAGGCACAAATGTCAGTCCAACGCAAAGCTGGTCTTAGTTTCAGAATTTTGTCACCTGTGGAAGATTACATGTGCTGGACATTGCTTTGCCTCATTTTCTCTTTAATTTTAGTTCAATTTAACAAGTGTTCATTGTCTTCCAAATGTTAAGCATGTGCTAAATCCAAAAGCAAATGAGATAGCACTTCTAGCTTCAAGGAACTCACTTATTTAATTAGAAATGGGGGCACACAAAAATATGACACTTTAAAAGTTAGGGCAACTGGGGCTGGCACAGCAGCTCAACAGGCTAATCTTTGACCTACATGCACTCCTGTCCCATATGAGTGCCAGTTAGTGTCCCATCTGCTCCACTTCCAATCCAGCTCCTTGCTTATGGCCTGAGAACGCAGAGGAGAATGATCCAAAGTCTTACAATCTTGCACACACGTGGGACACCCAGAAGAAACTCCTGGTTTTGGGTTGCCTCAGCTCCAGGTGTTGCACCATTTGGGGAGTGAATCAGTGGATGCAAGATCTTTCTCTCTGTGCCTCTTCCTATCTATAAAATCTGCTTTTCAAATTAAAATAAATGTTTTTTTGAAAGAGCAGAATCTTCTTTCAATAAATTAAAGAAGTTAAGGCAATACATGTGTTATATAAAGGTGTGATGCTATTAGGTGTTACCTGAATGACATGCCACTAGTAACAGAACTGGGATATGAGTTGTCAACCAGAGGGGCTCCACAGGGGCTCCAGAGAGACTTTAGTATACAGCACAGTGTCCCTCTAAGAGATGCCGTGCTCTCAGTCTGGTGTAATTGGGTGGCAATAATCTGTAAAACATTGCTACATTTTTTAAAGAAATTATGAAACAATGTGGACTAGAGTCATTCAATTATCACTTATTGAAGAGAGTTTCATTGTACCGACCCAAAATGGATTACATTTCAGAGACTATTGCCAGACATGGGGTTTGAAATTGTACAATGTCTTGCTTTGCTATTGTTATCATCAGGTGGCAATTTATTTCCCGAGTTTATGCAGTATCTTTTCATATTCCCAAATATGCTGAAGGGAACTGCCCCTGCCAGCCTGCCCTCCACCCACTCTTACCTCCCACAAGACAGTGATCAATGAGATAAACACACAAAGAATATTTTTTAAAAATGTCAAAAGAGTACCAGACAAATAATTAAACTCTTGGTAATCCATGCCTGTTATGCAATAGCACACTGTCCCTTTTTTAGCCCTGCCTTACCCACACATTTCTCCCTTCTCCCTCTGTTCCTGGACATCCAGGTCCTTTGCATCCCTCGGGACTTGACCTTTGGCTTTCAGGTGTCCAAGCCATCTCCCCTACAGCCCCTAGGCTGTATGTGCTCTCTGCAGCAATGATTTACACCACAGCCCAGAGAACCTTCTCTGAATCTAGAGACCCTCTCCAAAAAAAACCAGACATCAATACACAAACTTTTATATAGATATTTGGAAAGGGCAGCTTTCCCAGATGCTAAGTAAAGCTATACTCTAGAAGGATCACGAGGCTAAATCAAGATCAGTCATTCAGAACTCTCCAAGATGGGAGAATTGGGTGAGTTCATGTTAGAACAGATGAGGAAGGAGTAGCCTAGGAGAAGTTTAAAAAAAAAAAAAGGTGCTATCCCATGAATCAGGAGAGGACAGGCCAGTGGCAGAGGGATACCTAGAAACCTTTGGACATGGGGAAGAAGCAGAGACAGCACTGCTGTACTGCAGTGAACAGATACCCCAACAGTGATTGGAGCTCCACTGGTGGTCAGGTGGGAAAAGGAGATTGTGGGGAATTTAGAAGGTAAATCCAGCTATAGCATTGTGGACTCTGCTGATTTTTTTAATCAGATTGTGAGCAGAAGCAAGGTGGTGCTGCCCAGGTGCAAAGGTGAGGGAACAGAGTGTGTTTCATGACCCAGACCCTCACCACTTCTACATCAGGCATCATTCTGAGTTCAGTGGCAAAGACTCAGGAGGAGCAGGTATGAGGAGGGGCAACAGCAAGCTGTGCATGCAATAAGCCAGGAGAGAACTCATTTCTGGCTCAACACATTGCAATAGTTCCACTGGGAAAATAATACCAATTTCACATCCTACAGATTCCATCAAAAATAGGTCCAGATTGCCTACAGACCTAACTGCCAATGGGCTCTGGCGAGAAGAGAAAAAAAGAAAAATACTTCTGCAATGCATGCCACTGAGACCCCCATAGTCTAATTTGAAGTCACAGCTTGTATCTTCCTAATCCCAAGTTTTGCTGGAACTAGGAGAGGGAAAAGTCTGAGCAGATAATGGTGTAGCACAGCACAGAATCACAAGGAGTGAAGAGTGGCAACCTAGAAGCCATGGCTGCAGAGGCCGTGGCAGAAGTGGAGCATGGAAGCCCAAAACTGAAACTC